GCCAGTCAGTTTGACATTGACCCTAGCAACAACAACAAAATGAGAACACATAGTAAGGTATCAGGGGATGAGCACTTACAAAATAATGCAGTTTCCATTGGTACTAAGAGCTGGTATGAATTTCTCAAGAACAAATGATGCCAGGTGAATGTTATCTCTTTGCGGAGGTGAGGAGAGAAAGAGTTACAAGTTTGGTTCGGGAAAAGCTGTGGGTGTACTATATCTTGATTTCAGTGGTAAATTACTTATGAGTACTGTTTACTGAATAAATCCTTGAAAAGGGTTGCCATAAGTCATAATTGACATGACAGCACACAATTATTATCGTTATTCTGGCAAGCTCCCCCAAGATATTCCTGTGGACAAAAATGAAGATTTGACGATGCTGCTGTTGGGTGGATTTGTAGTGAATTGACAGACTGTATTCAAAGAATGCTCATCAATGTTTCTTCATCATCCTCTGAAGAAGTGGGGTGCTGCAGACTGTTGTGCTGAGGCCAGTGTTGCTTAATACCAGAGGAACCTAAGAGCAGGGGAGCAGTGCTTATCAAATTTGCAGATGACACCAAACTGGGAGTAATAATCAATATTTTAAAAGACATAATTACAATTCAAGATGACCTCAGTAAAGTGATGAATTGGGCCAAAAACAAACAATGTATTTCAACGGGGATAAATGTAGAGGTCTCCATTTAGCCAGGAAAAATCAAATGATCAAATTTTGGATAAGCGACACCTGGACTGATAGCAGCATGTGTGAAAAGGATGTAGGGGTATTAGTAGACTGCAGTTTAAACTTGGTCTCTCTTCAGCCATGAAACTCACTCAGGAACCTTGGACCAATCACGTACATTCTCAGCCTGAACTATCACAGGTTTTTGTGAGGATACTGGTTGGGTGGGAAGAGAGCCATTCAAGTTTATCTTGAGCCCCTTGGAGGAAAAGGGATATCAATGCAACAGGTAATTATAATCAAACATGAGCCTGCGATGGGCAGCCTCACTCAGTGTCAGCAAGAAGAAGCTGATTGGCTGGGACTAAGCCAATCATGAATCTCCAAGTGGGTTCAAGGGAAGTTAAAAAGGAGTCTGAGGGAGAGTGTTTTCAGTGGAGAGAGAGTTAACAGTCATAGAGGGCTGGAGGGAGGTTGATACATAATTTACCAGTATAGTAGTGTGGGTTTCCAAAAGAGATTTGTCTGTATGGGTTATATTGTTAAGAAAGAACCTGTTACAGTTAGAAAGTTTGTTCTTTAAAACACAAGAAACTGCTTAACTAAGAATTGTGCCATGTAACCATTACGTTTCATAAAATAAAATATATTATTGTTTCTTTTACAATTGAATGAGTTTGACTCTTGCGTTTTGTGCTTAAGGATAGCCCAGGAAAGGGACTAGAGAGCTGGAAAAGTGATTAGCCAGGCGGGTGATATGTCAGCAAAAAACATTAATACAGTTCTAGGCTGCATAAATAGAAGTGCAGGGTCTAAACAAAGAGAAACAATAGTACCACTCTATTCTGATTTGGTCAGACTTGCCTTACAGCAGTGGTTCTTAACCTTTATTACTCGGATGTTTTTGAACTGCAACTCCTAGAAACCCCAGCCAGCACAGTTGGTGGTGAAGGCTTCTGGGAGTTGCAGTCCAAAACTCCTCAGTAACCCAAGGTTAAGAACCAGTGCCTTACAGTACTGCTACTCTGGAGACTAGCTGACTGCTTTTTGTGCTCACATATGTTTTGAGGCTCTCCAGCTCTATGGGCAATACAGTACTGACTCCTAGGCATACACAGATTGTGGTGGGTCATGGGACAAAGCCCCTCCTCTGAAATTCTGGGGTGAAACAGTCCCTCAACCCATTCCACAAACTTCCCCTGCTCTTGCAGTCCAGATTAGCCTTCCTGATAAGTATAATATTCCTTCTCCGCTCATACCAATACACTACATTGGCTTCCTGTTGTGTCAGAGGAAATGTGAGAAACAATTTAAAATGCTGGGATGTTTAGTTCTTGAAGAAGCTTGCCACATTCTCAAATTCCCTGCCATACATACATATTCCCTTACTCTAGTTTTTTAGGCATTATTTAAATTTAAATTGTACATCATGTTATTTATTTATTTTATTTAAAATATTTGTATCCCAACTTTCTCACCAAAAGGAACCAAAGGCTGTTCATGTCATTTAAAAGCTAATATTCAAAAACTAAAAAGAGTAAATATACAGATATTTTTAAAAAGGATTAAACAAGTATTATATTAAAAACTGTAAACAAAATCAATAGTAGAACACATTTAAGGCAACAGAGCACCATAATGACTGGCATACCATTTACTCAAGCCAGTCTCTACTAGCCATTCAATCCAGGCTGTGTCACCTCCTTTTGTTCTTCATGTTTAAATCCTATCGCTTTTGAATGGCAGAGGGGTCTTTGCCAATGTCTTTATTATTTTGTGGGGGGGCCATCCCAGTAACCTAGTTGTCTGATCAAGTCCTCTGCCTAGAATTATAGTCTTCAGGAATAAATGTCAGAAGAAAAAAAACAGAGATATATCTCTGCATGTGAAATGATTCTTCTTTAACTGCAACTTTTTAATATTGAAACTTACATCTGAAAGGGCAAATTTCATAATTTGGAGCCTCTCTTCAAGCATTTTAAGCATCTATTGGTTTGAAAATATAAACAGGAGCAACTTACCTGCTCAGATGAAAAAATCTGGGGAGGGGTAACATTTATATGCCACATTTGTATCCCACCCTCCAGCTAAGAAGTTAAGGACGACAGACATTGGATCCCTTTTTACACTCTACAACACAACTACAACACAACAAAGACAGATTTTTCTTTGCATTATATTTTTATAACTCTATTAAGGTAGGTTGGTTATTTTCACCTCACTGGCTCTGTCCTGATAAGATTTATGACTAGGGCTACTGGATCAGCAACATCCCATTCCTTGAGATTCTAGGGCCAAAGCCAGAGAACTGGGGGCCAGTACTTAACGATGTCACACAGGGTGAACCCCTACAATTAGTCCTTGTAATTTTAGGATCAGAGTTGGAGACCTGGAAGTACAATCTTGTGTTGTCACAGAAAGACACTTTAGAAAGAATTGCAGAATGCTGTGTTTCTGACAGACAGAAAACATACACTATAATGAATTTAAAGGCCACAGCAGTAGCTGCAGCAGCAGCTCTAGAGCATGCAAGATAATGAAGAAGAAAAAACAAAGGTGTTACTGATTATTCCTAAACCTATAAAAATGGACCTTGAAATTTAGGTTGCAAGGCTGGGAGCATCCCATTTGGTGAGATTTTGCATCCAATGTCTGAGGGTTGAAGAATGGACACCCAAGCTTGGAAAAACTAAAATCAAAAGGTTATTCACCCTCAAATCATTCCAGGCTCAGTACTAAATCTACTGAGACTCAATACTCTATGGTGGATAAAAGTATCATACTAGACTCAAGGGACCTCGGTTCCAATCCCCACTTGGCCAATCCCTACTTGGCAATGATAAATCACTCCCTGAACATCTTGCATCACTGTAAGTTGGAATCAACTTAATAGCATGTAACAACTATATCTACTGCATCAAATGCCCTCCTTATGTAGTCTAGACCTAAAACCACAAACTGTGAACCTAAACAGAAGCAGTTCTTGTTGGTTTGAGCTTGGCACTCCACATTGTCAAAGTAACAATGAACTCAAAAAATGAAGACAGATGTGTCTCTGTAGCAGCAGGAGCATTTCTTACCTGCGCCTCCAAATCTCATACTTATTACTGTTGTACAGCTTGTTGATTTATACTCTAAAAACTAACTGTAAGGCTGTTTTCAACCCTTTTACTAATATTAGGACAGGTGGGGGAATAAATATACTCATAGGCAAATAAATCACAGATGTAAAACTGACCTACATTCAAAAAAGGGGAGGAAGAAGGAGGCCAAACTTCTCAGTTCTTTCCCAGCTAGAAAGAAGGTATCAATTGCCATTAATTAAATGTTCAGTCTTTAGAACCTCAGAGACAGCATTTTTTAAATCTGAACCATGTTAATGCACCTGCAGGAATACTCACCTTACTAGCAATATAGCAATAGTGAAGTACAAACTACAGATTATCCTTGCTAATGCAGAGTGCTCAGCACAGCTGGATTCTGACCTATTTCTAAATCTTCAGATTTTCTCCAGCAGAGATGAGGCTTATGCAGTATTTCAAGGTGCTATCTTTTGGTTCCTGACAACTCCTTAGATTGCTGTCTTTTTCTTGACAACTCCCTAGATTTCTCTCCTCTTGGTCTCTTTTTAATTAGGGTAACTGCTGAACAGAAAATGGGACAAACAAACCTCAGGAGCCCAATGGATTTCAATACCCTGGATGAAAGACAGCATACTGTTTCCACACTTAAAGGGAACTGTGATTTAAAATTAGGCTCTGTGACTCTACACACAAAGCCACAGTTTTTAGCAATCACGGGATCAATCACAGTTTAGCCAAGCAAGACAACTTACAGGTCCTGTAGCTTCAAAAATATCATATGGTACAGATGTTCCTGCGCTGCATCGCACTAGATTATGGAGTGAAGTGTGGTTCATATATTTAATACGATAGTGAAAAACCTCAAAACATGCTGTCCCTGAAAAGCTAATTTCCTACATGTAGGAAGCCCCAAACTCTGGCTCTCTCCTCACCATTTGACAAGGTTGTACCATCTGAAGTCTTTTGAATGCATGGATTGGTTTTAACCCTCTTGGCTGTAGCACTTTGAAGCTGCATAAATTACAACAAACAGTCTACTTTGCTTTTCTCTATGTCTTAATTATCTTGAATTACTGGTGATTAGTGGAAGCCTAACAGTGTTTCCAAAAAGAAAAGAAAAACAAGCATTCAGCCCCTTATGCTGACTGATACAGATCTAAATTTGATTGAGATGCTTCTTGAAGCAACTTCATTGGTCAGTAAATTTAAAAAATCACTATTTTCATTGAACTTGCTCTGCTTACCTGTAAAGGTTGTTGTGGAATTTGTTATAGGAAGACAAAGTAATCAGACCACCCCATGCAGCAGACAGAGAGAAAAAGATCTGAGTGGCAGCATCTTTCCATACCTTAAAGGGGGGAAAAAGCCCGGCGGGGTGAGAATTAGCAACAGCTTCAACAGACATCTTAAGTGCTAGCACTCTTTTGACTATAACAATACTTTTGGCCATACTTCAATGTCATAATCAGAGATTCCATACAAAAATGGCACAGCTAAGCCATGGAAAGCTTGCTGCTTCCAACTATGAAATGTAAGAAAATAGCTGAAAACAGGAATGCGTGTCTGAATGGTGCAGTGAGACTTTTTAAGCCACCATGTGTAGCACGATGGCTCAATTTCAATTAGCAAAACACCCTGAGACAGCGGTGGTGTGCGGTTTCTTGTATTTTACTCACAAGATGAAAAAGCTGCTTTTGCATGCTATAGTTACTCACTCCATTGTGGCCATTGTGATTCCTGGTCCTTTAGTCCAAAAATACTAATTTTTCAAGCTCTGATTTTACTGTTAGTAACATATGTACAATCATAAATAAATAGTGCCTGCCATCAAACCCTGGTATCATAAATATCTAGTTAATAAGGAAAGGGTGGGGAAACTTTAGCTTCCAAATGTTTTGAACCACCATATTATCCCTTATCATCAGCAAGAGTGTATGGTCTTCAAGGAGTTCAATAGATTTGAAGTCCAAAATATCAGAAAGACCAAAAGTCTATCACTCGTGACATAGTCCCTAGTCCCTATAGGGTGGAACATACAGAAAACATAGATCTCTGCATGAATCATGATGAACATGTTTCTCTGAATGTTCCCTGAATCATAGACTCATAGAAAAATCAATTTGGTTCCATTGTTATACTGCACTGTTGTGCTCCAATGTTGAAAAGAATATAAAACTCCATTACATTAATTGCTAATAAAACTGTTTTGGCTTTTATTTGTTATTCATTTGTCTGCATGAGAATCTATTGCATAGGGCATTCTTGAAATGATAAGGAAAACAAATGTTGCCTACGTTTATTTTCTTCATACTTTCTCAAAGTTGAGGCACTACCATAGACTGATTTGGGGAAATCTCATATTGCTCTCAGTGCTTGTACACATTATAGTTAGAGATCTATATCTTGGGGCTAATTTTTTCTTTCCCAACACAAGTGTTTATTCCACATATTTATAGCCTGCCTTTTCATTTGAATATAAATGCCAGGTGCAATATAAAATAATTGAAAACATAAGGTCAATTCCCTCTTATCCTGACCTTCTCAGGGTTTTCTAGATATAGACTATTCACAAGTGATTTAGCATTCCCTTTGTCTGGAACCATGCTCTGGAATCATGCTGCTTCCCCAAGGCTGCACAGTGGTGTGAGACTTAAACCCATCTGCCATATATGCTCCTGATGCTCTTGGCTGGCCCTTCTGACAAGCACAGTAGGGATTCAGACTCCTGGCTCAGATGCTCCAACCCACTGAGACGTACTAATAGATACACTAATATGAATCCTGAATTGCTTATATAAATAAATGCACTTCCTCATAGCAGACTTGGCATAATTCACCAAAGAAACATATCCAAGGAGACGCTTTATAAAATCTAATCCAACGGCAGCCTGAATCCTATTAGTGATTTACATGTGTTTCAGTTAAACAATGCAATGCACAACAACGAATTGTTACTAATTAAAAAGATGCTGGTTGCATTATTAGGTATATGATCCTTGCACAACTGGGCATGCACCTATTTAGCAGTCATTTGCCATGGTGACTTCCGCAGTTTAACTTATACACATGTAAAACACCAACAGGATTCTGGCCATTGTATAATAAATTATAGGTGACACAATATTATTCATACATATCTGCAAACTTTCTTAACATGCATTGGCCCAAATCCTCTTAACTAGTCATGCTGGCATAACACAACTTTTGGAGGGAAATTGCCCCAAATTAAGAAATCACTGACATTATCAGTTACATACAAATGAGGTTCCATGTGAGACTGATAGCATCTATAGTGGTTGTTTAACTTGAGGCAATTTGCCTCCCAAAGTTATGTCATTTGCATAGCTACACAAGGTGATTTTGGTTATACATTTTCTCAAATTATGCACTCTATTAGAGTGTGACTAGAATAATAAGCCCACCATAGCATCAACAAGTTTCTCCCACTTAGGTGTGATGAAGTACCAGATTCCATCTCCGGCGCCTGGTAAGGTTACTCCTCTGATAAGTAAGATTATAAGCACTACATAAGGGAATGTGGCAGTAAAGTACACCACCTAAAGAGACCACACAAAACCAAAGAATTAGTGGGGTTGAATCAACAAGAAACATGATTGATTCTCTAATTACAATAAAACACTACATAGAGCGAGCCAATGAAACTGTGCAATGGGAAGCTGAGAAATCTACTTTGACAGTAAGATTATTTGTTAAAATATTGCTCTCAACACAGAACCACAAACCAATAAAGGTTTGGACATATTTAATATGAACCTACTATAATGCATACCCCATGCAGATTGATCTTTTACAGTATATACTAACATATATATTTGGCCACCAAATTGATGAAAAGCAAGGTAAATATTTGCTGTAGTGGAAGTGATCTGGAACTACAGACAATTATATGGAACTGGGTCTTCTAAGACCCCAAATGGCTGTGTACAGATTGAGGTAGCTGCTTCTGCTCCCACAGTTGAAATTCTCTATCCATGTAGATTATGCATGGTGATTAACAACCATGCTGGTAATATTCCTCTCAAGGATGTAGGCAATGGCTGCATGATTATAACAAATAGATAACAACTAAGACTAGTCCTAAGACATTTATTTTACCCCATCATTGTTTATCCTCATATGTTACTAAAACACAAAAGCATGTGAATGGAGGAAATAGCTGAATGACTATACAAATATAGGGCAACAATATTTTTGTCACATTGGCTGAAATTCTGTTGCTTAGTGTAGTAAATCACACTAGAATAGGCCCACTGAATCCATGGGAATTTGGCAAGTCAGCTGCTCCACAAGTTTCATTAATTCAAATAGGCACCCTCTAACTGCAACTCATTACAATAAAGTAAGATGCAACTAAAGTAGGCCCATCTGAATCAATGGAACTTAAGACAGAGCTGGCGTGCTGTGATCCATGGGGTCACAAAGATTCAGACATGACTTAACGACTAAACAACAAAGACAGAGCTGACTCACCAAATTCCCACTGGTTCAGTGAGCCTATTCTATGTGACTTACTACACTAGGCAACATCATGTTCAGCTACCCAGAGAAAGGAAATTATATGGTCTGCTCCAGCCAAAGATGGAACAGTCAATCTAACAGTTGCCTAGGAATATGGTATTAATTCACTGGTTCTTTACAGGTGTCACCAACTACCTCTCGATAGAACATAGACAAAACAGACTTATTGTGGAAAAAGATGGTCAATTTATATTGACATCAGTATTACTGAGAATGTCATCTATATGTGTGCTTACTTTGGAGTTAGTCCCATTGACTTACCTTCCATCTTTGAATGGATACTGCAGCATCCACTTTGGTACTTGCTTTAAACAAAGAGCCTCACCTGCACATCTGGCCATAGCTTTTGGAACATTGTTGTTTTTTCTACATCACCCCACCTCAGAAATGACCAGCCTGACAAGATTCGTGTGGACTTGAAAGCTAGCCTCTGCACATGAGATTTTAATGGTCTTATAAAGGTATTATCTAACCTTGCTTTCCTGGTGGCTTACTATCCCTGAATATTTTGAATGCAGTCCTATATCTTTAATCCATTGTGCTTTAATCCTGAAAGCACCATGGAAGAGGAAACACAAGAGATATGAAGAAGAAGAAGAGGAAGAAGAAGAAGAGGAAGAAGGAAGAAGAAGAAGAAGCACTCGTGAACAAATACCAATATCAATTATAAATGTTTGCCATACCAACTTTTCTTCTAATACTATGCCAACTGACAAGTGCCATCTTGGTATCTCACTCCTCAACAGATTAGCAATTATTTTATACACAATACAACACAAGTAATAATCAGGCATTTGGACCTATGCCTGTTCTAAAGAAAGGTATTCACTTACTTTTCCTGATGTCTTTATTCCTTTAGCCAGGGAGGCATAGACAATTACCCAAGCCAGAAACAGAGACAGTGCCAAAGGCCACCTGATTTCACCAGGATATTCAATCCCTGCAGAAATCTTCAACACATGGTACCTAAGAGTCAAAATGTCAATGTGAGCCACTGCAATCTGCAGTCCTCAAGTGCAGACCTCTGTATCAGGTCAAATATAACTTTCATTTTCTATGATTACATCAAAATTCACCTTTTTTACATTCAAATTATTGTTAACAAATACAGGATACACTTCATAAACCCTAAAGTCAATCGAAAAGTTATCATTACTCTCAGAGAATGTGGATTGTACCCACAAAGCAAATTACCGCTAGGACCGAATACAGTTGCAGAGAGAAGTTCAATCTAGGTGACCTAGATTCAAGTCCCAACTGTGTTGTGAACAAACTGGTGCCTTTATATAAATTGCTTTTTCAGCTGAACAAAGGTGGTCAGAAAACTGGGGGATTTTACATCTATTCTCCTGTCAGGTGTGATCATTTCCTGTTGAGATTTAGGCATACAGCTGCTCTCTTCTCCTGTGCAAGGGTGGCTGGGAGGTCTATTAAAATCTGATCTGTGTGTAAAAGATAATGAAGGATACAATCAGGCTCTGGATGATTTTCTTCATTTTCCTGCTAAGAAGAATCTATCAAATGCCTTGTTACATGTCAGAGCTAAGGGTAAACTAAGGCCAAGCTGAGAAAGTAGTAGTGCAGAGAGCATCATGACATGTAAGAGCTCAGTACCAGGTCTATTAAGTGGTAGTGTTGTGGCAAAGAAGCAGTTTTTATATACCATTGCATTGTTGCAACATCATCTAGGAAAGTGGTTCCAAGCGGTTTAGAATATTCTACAATTTGACCCATTCAGAGACACACTGGAAAATCCTAAGAGGCACATTTGCAAAGCTCTAGGTGTATAAAATTTAGTCTATCTGACATGATCTCAGTCTTACACTGATGTCTTTTCAGCACTAGGCAAAGACTTTTTGTTTCCTCAGGACATTTAAATCATGCTGCAGCTGTTTTGATTTGCTGACATTATTCAGGGGGTTTTGGTTGGTTGGCTAGTTGGTTGTTTGATTGGCCGGTCCCTAGTCTTATCTGATGTTGTTTTGATGTTATATTTAAAAAGACATTTAGCCATGCCATCCATGAGTAAAAATTTAAGAAAATGAGAGCTGATTAATAACCTTTATTGGGCCACTACAATGCAATCAAAATTGTGAGCAGCAGTCTCTGCTATGGATTGAAGTAGTTTCCTCCCATTCCAGGTTTCTAACAGCCAGCCTGGTGCAAAGTTCTAAAGGACTCAAAAAGCTTGCATTTTATAGTGATCTGGTGGCCCACTAAAGGTATTTAGTAATGACATGCTTCCAAGACAATTCTGCTTTATGGCGTACCTTTCCAGGGTTTTCTAGGTATGAATTATTCAGACATTTGCCATCTTTTTCTTCTTAAGGATGCTCTGAGACTGTGCAGCCTTCTCAAAGCTACAGAAGCTGACTATTCTCCCACAAGGAATACTAGAGAATCAACCTTCAACTAATGACTTTCAACTTTGTAGGCAGGTACACAACTCACTGAGCTATATTCTCCTTTGTGAAAAAAACTCAGATAACCTATTAGGGGATGGGTAACCAAGAACATATGTTAGGTTATAAACCATGGAATAAGTGGTGACTCTTTTATTTTTCCCTTTCTGCCCTTTTGTTTACCTCTGCAGTCTAGCCAATCTCCAAAACTATGATCAGACAAAGTAATATAGCATTATTCCTGTAGTACCTCACTTCTTACAACAATCCTCTGAGACAAATTTATGGGATCTGGTATTAATCCGAGATGGAAAATGATTTCCTTTTTGGACTGCTTTCAGAATCCCATAGCTGGCATAGCCAATGATCATGCTAGCTTGAGAATTCTTGGAAGTATAGTCCAAAAAGTGAGAAGCATGCATCTCTGCATTACCTTTAGGGTACTAAGACTAAAAGATAATTCGATAGGATTTGAACCCAGAACCAGAGATCACATCATAGCAGTTGAACTTCTTGTCTCTTTCTTGAACTACATGCTGTTTTCATGGGATGTGTTCAATGACAGGTCTGATTCCACCAAATTACATTTGTCATCATATTACCAATAATTAGCTCATTAATGAAGACCCTACATATGAAATA